TACACTCAATACTAACAAGGTTTTGATAGCGCAACAATTAATGACTCTTACTTTCCTTAACGATTGTTTATTGTTCCTGTTTATATTTACTACATTTTACTTAGATCAATTTTTAGTATTTTTTTTTTTTCTTAGAGGCTCTTTGTTTTCTACTGGACATCTGTTCTTTTGTACTTTTATCTTACTCTGCTACACTCTTTTTAACTTGTTATGCATCTCTAAGGCAACCACTGTGCAGTGCAGCTTTGCTAAAATGCCAGAAAAACATTGAAATAGAGCATAAACTCACTATAATAGAGAAATTTTATTTAAAATTTATCATTTATTTGCATTCATACAGACATAATAACTAACTGTTGTGATTATGAGAACCTAAAATATATTGTGGGCTAGTTCAGTGCCATTAAGTAGAACTGGGAAATCTTTGCCCAATTCAACTGTATGCCAACACTAACTATAATCCAAAACGTCTTTCTGATCCTAATGATTTATGTTCAAGCTACAAGCTTTATCTGTACTCCCACAAAGTACATACAAAGGTTGCAGAAAAAAGAAAGAATTTTGAGCACTGGTTACTTTAGTAAAGCGGTCGCTTACATCAGAAAAATCATAATTACTTTTGAGATTTGAAGGTAAAAAAAAAAAATTATATTATTAATTGACATTAAAAATAAGTATAACTTGCTTAATACAGTTCAAATAAGTTCAAAATATTTTATTTGCTTTTACTTATGTTTATAATAATACCTATTAATGATGTAAATATACCTATTAGTGACGTTACATGGCAATAGGTTGTATCTTTTATCACATTTCTTGCAACTTATATATAATATATATATATATATATATATATATATATATATATATATATATATATATATATATATATATATATATATATATATATATATATATATATATATATATATATATATATATATATATATATATATATATATATATATATATATATACATATATATATACATATATATATATATATATATATATATATATATATATATATATATATATATATATATATATATATATATATATATATATATATATATATATATATATGTATATATATATATATATATAAAAAGATTTGTTCATATTCTTAAAACTTTCTATTGGTTTTCACAAGCAACTCTGTTAAATTTTTTCAAAATTTTATTGGATTTAGGGGGAACACAAGACCCTTGAACACTTACCGGGTCCCTAATAATATTAAAAAAAAATTTTCTCAAAAGTATGTCATGTTGGGTCTCAAAAGAAGCGAAATTATATAAAAAATTTAATAATAACAATTATTTTAAAAAAAATATATTATTCAAATTTTTTTATTGGAATAATAATCGGAAAAATACACTTTTTTCATTTTGAGGTTAAAAAAGGTCATTTTTCTGCAAAAAAAAAAACTCTAAATTAATAATTTTTTCATAAAATGTTACTTTTGAAATTTTTATATAATTTCGCTTCTTTTAAGACTCAACATGACATACTTTTGCGAAAAAAAATTTTTAATATTATTAGAGGCCCGGTAAATGTTCAAGGGTCTTGTGTTTACCCTAAATCCAATAAAATTTTGAAAAAATTTAACAGAGTTGCTTGTAAGAACCAATATATTCTAAAAAAGATCTGTTCATATTCTTAAAACTTTCTATGAATATATGAATATATATATATATATATATATATATATATATATATATATATATATATATATATATATATATATATATATATATATATATATATATATATATATATATATACATATATATATATATATATATATATATACATATATATATATATATATATATATATATATATATATATATATATATATATATATATATATATATATATATATATATATATATTCGTGTAAGGAATCTAATTTTCAACCTGGCTGAAGAAACATGACATGGGTATAATAAAAGGGGACTAGAAGGCATTAATGCTAACAAAATTCAGAAGCTCCTGCCTCATTTAGAGAAAACTATATTAAATAATTTTTCTCCTTATCATCAATTTATTGAACTGTTAAAATCATTTTACTCAAATTTTTTATATTAATATATTTTACAAACTAATTATAAAACCAATTATTATTCCATAGATGAGTATTTGAATTTATGAAAATCCTGGAAATTTTTTCTATGAAAATCATGGAAAATTATTTTATTAAAAATTGATTGTATTAACAAACAACAAAAACTTTCGTAAACTTTTAAAACAGAATTTAGATAATTTAACTTTTTACAAAAAGGAATTTCTAATATTCAAAAAAGTTAATTTGAATGAATTAAAAAGCAAAAAAAAAAAAAAAGAAATACGGAAATTGATCTTGTGAAAATTTTAATTAAAGAAAACATAATTTTTTAAAAGCAAAAATTGTCATATTTAATCACGCCAGCTTCCGTTCCGAAGTATATCTCAATTAAACTATTCTAGGGCTTTTGGTCTCAACAACATTACTGTCATAGTCTTACAAAAGTGTTTTCCAAAACTCTTTTTAAAAGTATTTAATATGTGTTTGAATGAGCCTTGTTTTCCTGCCTGCTGGAAAATGGCATCTATTGTTTCGATTTTCATGAAACCCGGAAAACAATTTGAACCCTACAAAAATCAGTCTTCTTTCTGTTATTAGCAAAGTCTTTCATCAACTAATCTCTCACTTACCATCTTGATTCAAATAACTTACTATAAGACAATCAATAAGGTTTTGATCCTCTCACTCTACGGTTGACTTGCTAACTGTGAATGAATGATTTTATTGTGCATTTAATGGAGGCAGAGAGGCTAGGACTATTACTTTTGACATATCTAAGACTTTTGATAAAGTTTGGCATGCTGATCTTGTCCATAAACTTGTTTCATATGGTATACAGAAAAGTTTTTGAAAAAATTAAATCATTTTTCTCTAACGGCTTTATTAGTCTCCTCAAAGGCTAACACTTATCTTCATTTCCAGTAACTTCTGGGGTACCTTATCCATTTCCTTAATCCTGTTTTTGTAAACCTAATTGTGCCCATTCTATCTGCTAAGTTTGAGCCTCTTTTCCATCGTTGTAATGTTGCATCTCCTTCTATTTTCTACAAATACTATCATGGTCTCTGCTCAAAGGAGCTATCTAATTCCATCAACTAAAATTCATTCTTGTTTGAATAGTCATTCAGCAAAGCCACATTTTTTCACTGTATCTGTCCCTGTATGTTCTAAAAACTTTTATTTGCCTAGTTTTTTTCCCCACACTTCAACCCTTTGGAACTCTCTTTAACTATTTTCTTCAGTCAACTGTTTACTTGCTCTATAACTCTAATTTTTTGTTTCTAGTAACTCCCAAATAAATAGTGGTTGCTTGTAGCCTTGTTGGGAGTGAATTAGAAAAAAATATATATATTAAAAAATATATAATTAAAATTAAATATTTATTGAATCTAAAATAGTTTCACAAAGATGTCATTCAAATCTACAGTAAAACATGTTTGTTCATGAAGGCTATGCTAATGCCATAGCAACATATATAATGTTTAAGCAAAGATATAGGTAATATTTAAGCAAATAAAAAAAACTCTCATATTATAAAGTAACATTTTAATTTTTGTGTATGTGATGACTTTTAGCTATGATATCAATTTAGGAAAATATAAAACAAATGAAGACTTATTATAATAATAATGTTATACTACTAATAAAACTATATTATATTACAAAGATATCTACTAATAAAACTATATTATATTACAAAGATATCTACTAATAAAACTATATTATATTACAAAGATATCTACTAATAAAACTATATTATATTACAAAGATATCTACTAATAAAACTATATTATATTACAGAGATATCTACTAATAAAACTATATTATATTACAAAGATATTTATCATATTACACCATACAAAATAATACTATATAGTAGATTATGTTATACTATGTCATATAATATTAAATATTGTATTATATTATATCATACATTATAGTGTTTATAAGTAAGGTGTAAATCATGTAAAGTAAATTAATTTTTTCTAGTATTAAATGGTCATATCTTTGGAATGCCAAAATAACTTTTATTGAAATTTGAAATCTAGCAATAAATTTTGATCTTTTTTATAACGATTTAGAATATAAAAAAATAAAAAGAATGTGATAATGAGACAGGCAAAACCCATTTAAAAATAACTATATTTTCAGGGCATACACCAAATATATTATCAGGGGGCATACACCAAATATATTATCAGGGGACATATACAAAATATATTATCAGGGGACATACACCAAATATATTATCAGGGGGCATACACCAAATATATTATCAGGGGACATATACCAAATATATTATCAGGGGGCATACACCAAATATATTATCAGGGGGCATACACCAAATACTTCCTTCTTTCTATAATTTTATCTCTATCTTAGCCCTAAACATTTTTGCATTTAAAATTTTGAAGTAACCAACTTTTCAACCTAAATGACCAGTGTCATACTTGCTGACCATGGCAAATTAGATTTGACCAGTGTCCTATAATTTGTTTTAATTTGTTTTATCTGTTAAAAATAAAGGAAAGTCAAATTTTTTTCATGTTTAAATACCGTTAACAGAACAATTTCTCATATGGTTTCAATCAATGATTTTTTACCTATATACCTCTTCTTAAAAATCCTTTTATTAAATTGATGTAATATTTAGATCAGCATCTAAAATATTTTAATTATAATTTGCTGAAACATTGTCATCATTTCAATTAAAACCGGTTTATGATGTATTTATGATGATTTTTGATGATTTTTAACACTAAAAAAAGCTTAATAGCATAATATAAATGACTCTAAAGGGACAATATTTTTTGATTTTTATTTAATAAAATTAAAGTGTTCAATAAACATGTTTTCAGAAAAATAACAGAAAAGTTAAAAATCACTTTTTTTTTGCTTAATTATAAACAAATTTATAAATTTTACAAAATACCATTGGTTGCAATAGTTGATCATGGTTCTTTTCTGCGAAAAGAGTGCCCAATAACACCATAGTTAGAAGAACTGTAGATCCAAACATACTAACCACTCCAAAGAAAACACCACAATTAAACCAAATCTTTAAAAAATTTGGTCGCCAACGCCCAATTCTTAAAACAGTACGATTAAAAGCAATTGTTTCCCATCGTATTTGACAAAGTGACATACAAATTCCATTTTTTCTAAGAAATGTATTGTAGTGGTGGCTATAAGCTTTTGAATTCTATAAAATAATATTTTTACATATAAATATTAAGCAAATAAATGCATCAACAATTTTATTAAAACATTAGACAACTTTATTATTTTTACTGAGATTTACTAGATCTAAAATAAATAATAAAATAGTCTTTTTTTAATGTATTTTAGGTGCTCCCAGATGTCTTTACGGTCTTATCATAGAGCACCGCGGGAGAGCATTTAACAGGAAGCCCACGCCTCGCTTGTTGGGCTCGAACCTGGGACCTCTGGGTTCTGAGCCAGAACTCTAACCACTGTGCCACGGCAGATCATTAGACAGTTTAGACAGTTTAAACAGTCTAAAAAAAATATATATATATTTTTTTTTTAAATAGAAAATACAGTTAGTTTCATACAAGTTTTCATTAATAACTTCAAATTTGCAATCAATGATCTTTGTAATATTAATCTTAACGCTTACGCGCCAAAACATCTTTTTTACACATAAACCTAATTTTTAACAGCAAATGCAGAGTTATAAAATGATTTTGGCTTTTTATCTTTTTTTTTTCTTGCTCTCCGTTGTCCAGGAGCTCTAAAAATGTTAAGAGACTCGTGATCTGCAATAAGAAAAGTATTCATTAACTTGAAACCTATTGTTTTTTAGCTTGGAGTCATCCAGTCCTATAGGCTTTGCCGCCTTCATTCATAAGGACTCTGGAATTAAAATTTAATTGTTTTTCTAACCAAAACATTCTTACTTTTCCCTAAAAGTAAGAATGTTTCGCATCCCTGATTTTTAATAACATTTATTTCATTGATCATTATAGCTTCTGAGACTTTTATATGTTTTCGATGTTTTTAAGAATAACAGACAATTGGATAGTATTGCTCAGTAAATTATGTTTTTGTTTATTTTAAATATTTTAAATATTTTAAATATTTTCTTATTATTATTTTAAATTTTTTCTTTTTATTATTATTTTAAATTTTTTCTTATTATTATTTTAAATTTTTTCTTATTGTTATTTTAAATATTTTCTTACCTGCCCAACACTCTACTATGATCAAGAATCTAGAAATATTTTCTTACCTGCCCAAGACGCTACTATGGTCAAGAATCCTCTTTTTTTATTTGTTATTTATTTTCTTTTAAATATCATTGTGCTCTTCCAAAACACTTTGACCAAACAAGACTTCTGCTTGAAGAATTAAGTTAAGCACAATACTACCAGGGAACTGATGGGAACCAAAAAAATTAAAATTTTATGAATTGCTTTATTAAATGCAACTTGACAATCCCATCCTTAGGCAGGTTAGCTTTTGGAGGGTCAGAAAAACTACAATATTTTTTTATGCAAGACACTTAAAAAATTATAATTTTTAATTTTAATTTTAAATTTTATTTACTGTCAATCTTATATTTATATTAGACTTATACAAAATATAAAAAAAACTTAACAAAATAAAAAGTGGACTGGATTTGAAGCAAATTTATTTTGTTTATTAAACAATAACTGTGCACATGTACAATAACAATGTATGGAGCCTAAATAATCAAGGCTTTAACAGCCGATTTATGTTAAAAACAAGACTGACTTTGATTTAAGCTCTTTGAGAGTTGAATCTACAATGTTGAGAGTTGAATCTACAATGTTTGACCTAAGTTATTGCAACTGTTAATAATGCGATTTGTTAATAATTGGTATCTTTTAAGATTTTTTATTAATTGCCTATGAAACCTCATATTATGACTTCTTATATTTGAAGCTATTACCAGGTGGGTATTCCAAGGTTAAATTATCTATATTTTTTACTATTTTGTAAAAGTGGATTAGGTCATTCATTTGTATCTTTTTTCAAGAGTTGTTAATTTAAAGTAGATTAGTCTAGTTTCATAATTTTTCTCTTAAAGACATTATGTTAATGTTGCTTTAAAAAAATTGAAACGTTATACTGTTTCAATTTTTTTGTGTTTTGTTCTAAGTAAAAATACCACACTGAATTTGCATAGTCTACATACAGTCCTACAAGAAAGGTGAATAATAGTTTAGATGCGCTTATGTTTAATTTTTTTAATGAATGTTTTATTATTCCTAACATTTAATTAGCTTTACCAGACACAGAATTAACTTGAAAAGACCATTTTAAGTTGTTTGAAATCATAATTCCCAAATCTTTTTCAATTATGGTTTCTGGGAACTCTGTTTACCACTGAATCATACATCGTGTCATTATATATCATTATATAATAACTATATTTTTTATCTATATGCATGTGTTTACATTTGCTATTATCAATTTGTAATAGCCATAATTTTGACCATGTCATTATTTTATTTAGATCTGTTTGAGCCATTTCTATATCTGAAGTTGTTCTAATTACATCAAATAGTTTTATATTATTAGCTTATATTTTATACTTGGTTGATAACTCATTCGGTAAGTCGTTTATTTAAACAGTAAACATAAACAGACCCAAGACAGAGCCTTGTGGTACTCCATTTGTAACTGGAGACCAATTTAAAAAATTGCCCTTGCAGACAAAACGTTGCACTGTTACATACAAAATTTCTGCACTATCTAAGTGCTTTATTGCTAACTCCATAAATTTTCATTTCAAGATGCAATCTGTTGTGAGCTACGAAATTGAAAGCTTTTTATATATCTAGGAAAGTGATATCTACTGATAAATTATCTTCCGATTTATTATAAATAAAGCTTCCCAGTTTATTGTAATATAATTAGTGTTTATAAAAGAGTATTTAAAGGTTTTTATAACAATTTATTGGAATTTATCAAATTCATAAATCGATTAATAAGAGGAGCTTAAAAACATTTAATGATAATTGAAAGAAATTTTTTATTTATCTTAATGCAGATCAAAGATATGCTCCTCAAATATACTATTTCTTTTTTTCTGATTTTGTTACTTCCCCATGATTACACACTTTTTTTTTCAGAAATCACTATAATGAAGTGTATTAAACAAGAAGAAAAATTTTTTTTTTATTATAACCAGTGTTGATCCTAGGTTACCGGTGGTTTGATGTGGAGGCACATTTTACTAAGTTTTAGCCACAGCCATTTTTAGAGGTCTATAATTTTTTACTCAATTATATCTTATCAGTAAATTTCTAAAAATTCAGAAGCCTACCATATATAGAAACTAAAAAAAAAATTCTTTACACTTTTTAAACAGAAGGTTTTGTATATTAACTCATTAAAAATCAACTTTTTATACTTGCAAAGAATTTTTTCAGTTTTTTAAGTAGCCATTATGGAAAAAATATGACATTCAAGAATTCAATATCAAAGTTTTATTAAAGTAAGTCTAGAGTTGTATACAATAAAAAAAAACTAGAAGGTTTTCTGAAATTTTGTTTTTAAAATATAGAGCTTCAAAGTATGAACAAAACATGTTTTTGCTACTGAAGTTTTTATTTTTGGAAAATAAATAATCAGAAATTTCAAATGACCATATCTCATGAACCACAAAAGATTTTATGCTGAAATTTTCAGGAATTGCTTTTCTCGTTGATACTAACAAACCCACTAAGTTTCATCAAATCTGAGGGGGTCCATGTTGAAATCCTAAAATTTTGGTTCATTTGGCATGGACCATATATATGGTTCTATATGTTTCAGAGTTTTATTTTATTTTTTCACTAATTTCCACCAAATCCACTACATATTTTATACCTAATATTTTTGACAAGGTTGTAAAGTTCCCATGTGATATTTGCTACAAATCTGAGGTTCCATATAAAGTGCAATAAACTATATACAAATTGCTTCAACTCTCTGATGAATCAGTCAAGTGTTTGGTATTGCTGCAAATACATCACTAATAAATAATGACTTTATTCTATACTTAAATAAGGCAAAAAAATCGTCGCAAAAATTTATTTAATCTCTTTAAAAACCTACCTGACCTCAAAAGTATCAATATCATTGTTGGGTGCATCTATTGTCACCTTTTTTTTTTTTTTTTTTTTAACATCTTCACTTCCAACAAGGCTGCAAGCAACCACTATAAGAGTTGGAAGTTACTGGAAGAGAAAAGACTAAATCTGTAGAGCAAGATAACGATTGACTGATGACTTAAAAGATTGCAAATTATATGAATCAGGAAAGCAAGATGATGGAAGCGAATTCCAAAGAACTGATGTTCGAGGAAAAAAACTAGAAGAATAAGAGTTTTTGAAGCACTTAGGAACAGTCACAGAAAAAGGATGAGACTTAATTGAATGGCGAGTAACACGAGAATGAATTTTAGTAGATTTTTACGTGCATCTTAAATCAGGCAACTTATCTCTAACTAATCATCTTACTCAATGTAATGTCCTGCCATGTAAAACCAATAAAGATACAACAAAACATATCGTTCCTTCAAAAACATTAACAAAAGTATATTTCTTGATAAACTTGTAACAATTTTTTTTTTTAATTATCTTCGCTTCCAACAAGGTTGCAAGCAACCACTAATTAGTGTTGGAAGTTACTGGAAGAGAAAAGATGAAGATTGTAGAGCAAGATAACGATTGACAGACGACTTAAAATATTGCAAATTATATGAATCAGGAAAGCAAGATGAAGAAAGCGAATTCCAAAGAACTGATGTTCGAGGAAAAAAACTAGACGAATAAGAGTTTTTGGAGCACTTAGGAACAGTAACAGAAAAAGGATGAGACTTAGTTGAATGACGAGTAACACGAGAATGAATTTTAGTAGATGGCACAAGAGACGCTAGCTCTTTAGAGCAGTGCCCATTATAGTATTTGTAGAAAAGAGAAAGAGAAGCAACATTATGACGATGTGACATAGGTTGAAGGTTGGTGGCAAGAGCATCCAACTATGTTTACAATGCGTTTTTGCACCTTGTCTAAAAGAAAAAGCGTATCATTAGAAGATCCGCCCCAGATATGGCAACAGTATTCCATAGAAGGCCGGATTTGAGATTTATAGAGATAGAGAATAGAATCCAGAGTAAGAAAGTGAAGAGCTCGATAAAGAGAAGCAACTTTAGCAGATAATAATTTT